GGCAGGGGGGTTGTATATCGATTGTAATCTAGGGGATTACTATCGATATATAGCACCTTTTAAATTTTGCTGATGAAGTTGAGGGTTTATTCAACAAGTATGATCTTAAGTGTCATACAAATATGAATATTGAAACCAAAAAAGCCAAATTACGTCTTTCAGGTGTTAGACAATTATCTCTATCTGACAAAGATTTGGCAGTTCAAAGAAAAAATAAAAAAAAAAAAATTTGACGAACACGATAATGAAAAACAGGTAGCATTTGGAGAAATTGAAGCTAATAAACTGTTTAATAATTTGTTCGATAAATAAACAAATAATTTGTTCGATAAATAAAGAAATAATTTGTTCGATAAATAAAGTAAATAATTTATAAAAAGTGAATTTTCCGAATTTTCCGAAATTGTTAAAAAACCTATAAAAAATCCTTACATAGTAAATTTAATATGTACGCCTACTTATGGTTTGATTTTATTAGTTTGATGATCACCCTAATGTGACACGTATTTTTGGTGGTCGCCCTGGCGAACTCCTAGGACTAGTTAAAAACTAGTTCGCCCCTGTTAAATCAAGTCGTACCCTAGCGGCTTAATATAGATTTTATACGTAATACTTTTGTATTACAAACTTTACCATTATTTATCGACAAAGTCAGCACTTAACTAATTTTAACTAATTCACCAATTAGAGTATCTGTCATTGATTTACCAATTACAGATTAGCGAATTTTATTTAAAGTACCACCACTCAGGGTATATTGTTATTGATTCATATTTTATCGGACTTTATTTAATGTGTCAAAAATGACACTCTATTAATATCATGTGAGAGCTGGACTGGTTTTGGACCAGTACTGAACTAGTCCCTACTAGTCCCTAAAAAGTCCGGTCTGGACCGGTCCGAACCAGTTCCCCGTGGACTACTTGACATCCCTACGGGAAGGAATATTAAGTGACTTTTGCACGTGAGGTTTGAAAACACCAAGTACGTACTAAAATAAATATGATAAATTAAGAACTTGTTTCAAACTCGTAAAAATAAGATATGCACGTACGTACGTACTACAATGTTTGTGAAGCAGTGAAATCATAAGTACTTGTTATTGGTTAGGTTGTGGATGATAACTGATTCGTCAGGTTACTATATAAATCACTTGGCTTAGCCACGTAATTCATATTGTTCCCTACGAATAATCAGTTTTCATTACAACTTAACTGATATTTTTATCCGTAATGTCTGACGTAAGCACTGTCGTTTTTCGTATATATTATTCGATTTTTCTAATCATTTAACTCACTTTTACTCTTTTTTTTATTTTCGCTTACTTTTCTCTTTCGCTCACCATTTTTTTCTTTTTACCTTTGTTTGCTTTTTTTCATTCGCTCAATTTTTTTTCCTAACTTTCATTTTATGAGTTTTATGCGACCTACACAAGAAGAAATAAAATCAGAAAAGTGATCAAAAAACTGATTTATCACATGATTAGAAAGTTAGCGACATGTCGGATAAGGGGTGTTATGTGCAACAAAGTCTTGCATTAAGAACAGCGATTGTCGTCTTATAGGGGTACTATGCTATATAAATACTTGTGTAACGGTGTACCGGAAATTATCTCTGCAGCTAATTAAAAATTAGATTTTAAACAATAAAAGGTGTGATCGACGCTATTCATTTTTGAGGATCACTAAATCAGAAAGACCTTTTTGATGGTATCAAATCACAAAACCTATTATTCTGTAAAATGCCGAAGATTTCTGGTTATCATTATTAAGGCAATTTCCGGCTCGATTTTCATCAGTCAGAAAATTTATGTTAGACGTATCTGAACCTCCGATTAAAAAAATATATATATTACCGGCGAAAAGCAGGTCATATCACCTGAGTGTTGAAAATTTCGTGCCCATTTATATTATCAAGAATGTAATTTATGCAATATGTAGATCAACATATTGAACCCCTTTTTGGTATATTTCAACTGCATTGCTTACCGTTAAGTTATAGTTATGACTTTCCAACTTCTTTGCTCATCTTTTTGCAAGTGTTATTATTAACCTTAAATAAATCATGTTGCATCAAAGGTGGCAAATATTACTTCATACAATTGGAATAATTTCCTTTTGTTATTCTTTCGCTATATTACCTTCGTTAAGTAGAAATGTTGATTTACTTTTCGAATTTAGTGTATGTATCTGTTCCATTCACTCTTTCTTCGTTCGATTTATGTAAACCAAATTATATTTCTAATATGCACGTATCTAATGCTTAAAGCATTTGACGATAATAGGATTACTCTTTTCTTTGGTAGCCTTCGTCTTTTCTTTGATATATGATGTGTTCTCAAAGTTCACAAGATTAAAAAGTAAATAATCTTTCATTCATTAAATAAGGGAACTGATATTTCACACTCCTTTGATATTTCCATACCCTTGTAAATCACTCATTGTTTAAAATTTGATCGAAGGTATCTCAACAACCACCTGATAAAATTCGATAAATATTTTTTATTTGAATTCTATGGATTCATAGAATTAGAATAAAAAAAAGTTCATCAAATTCCATCAGGTGGTTGTCAAGATACCTTCGATCAAAGTCATGCACAAATTTACCGCGGCTTTTATTTTGATAGACATTTTAAAACTTTCATCGAAGATATCTTATCAATCATCCGATTAAATTTGATGAACTTTTTCCTTTGAATTCTGTGAATTTATATAATTCAAATAAAAAATAATTCATCGAATTTCATTAGGTAATTGAGATATCTTCGATAAAAGTTTTAGAAAAAATTTTGAACGTCTATTAAAACGTAAGCCGCAGCAAATTTTTTCATAACTTTGATTAAATGTATCTCGATAACCACACGATGAAATTTGATGAAACTTTTTTATTTGAATAGAATTCAAAAAAAATTCGTCGAATTTCATTGGGTAGTTGTCGAGATATTCTCGATTGAAATTTAAAACATAAGCCGCGGCAAATTTGTGCATGACTTTGATCGGAGGTATCTTGACAACTACCTAATGAAATTCAATGATCTTTTCTATGAATCTATAGAATTCGAATAAAAAAATTCATCGCATTTCATTAGGTGATTGTAGATATCTTCGATTAAAAGTTTTAGAAAATTTTAAAACGTCTATCAAAATATAAACCGCGGCAAATTTGTGCATGACTTTGATCAAAGGTATCTCAACAATCACCTAATGAAATTCGATTAACTTTTTTTTATTCAAATTCTATAAATAAATAGAATTTTATCAGGCGATTGCCAAGATATTTTTGATCAAAGTCTTAAAAATGAGTGATCTATAAGGGTGTGAAAAAATCAGTTCACTTAAGTAATTATTCTTTTATTTATTGACTTTGTTTTTTAGCGATGTCATTCTTCAAGATGATATTGTTTTTCAAGAATAGTTTTATGATCATTTCAGTACCAGTTAGTATGCTATTATCTTGGCTATATGTTTTATATTCAAAATATTAAACTACTTTTTGATGGTTTAGCTTGAAGGATTGATTTCTTTCATGTATTGGAGTATTATAATATATGATGAAAGACTACTTCTAGATCCTGGAAAACCAAGGTTCTTTAAATATTTTGTCTTTATTATTAATTTTATTAATTTTATTAATTTTATTATATTGCAAGGTTTAATTTATTTTAAATTATTATATAATAATAATAACACTAGACTTCCATTCTTTATTGATCTCGGATTTCATTTATTCCCTGCTTTATATTTATGGATAGATTTTTTATTCTTTACTAAAGAATTTAAAAAATCTTATAGCCATATTTTTTATCTTTTAGCTTTCGCTTTTTCGTATGCAGTTTGGGTTCAACTCTTTTATTTTAAATATGGCATTTGGGTTTCTATCATTTTTTTAAAAATTATCTGAAATTTGGTATCTTAACTATCACGTTTATTTATATATAACTATTTTTTAATATATCATATAGCCATATCCAATTTTAGATAAACTAGAAGACTTATATCGAATCATATTTTATTTTGCTTGCTTTGTTCTGTGTACTGGAATTTATTATATTGGTATGTTTCTTTCAAATTTTATTAGTATTTAGTTTTAAAGATAAAATAATTTAATCAAACTCATTTATAGGGGCATTCATTCATTTTATTTTTAATAATTCACAAACCACTTTTACAAATTCCAAGAAACAAAAAATCCTTTAAATTCATAATTAATAATTATATA